AGAGACGGGGTCTCGCTCTTGCTCAGGCTGGTTTCGAACTCCTGAGCTCAAACAATCTGCCCGCCTCGGCCTCCCAGAGTGCTAGGATTACAGGCGTTAGCCACTGCGCCCGGCCTACCAACTTGTTTTTAACGTTGATCAGGATTTTTTTCCCCAAAATTATTCCTGTTTCATGAAGGTAATTATTTTAACCCTAAAGTCAGAAGTAGGTTGGTAAAATGACAAAGGCATGACTTTGAAAACAAAAATGGTTTGAGGAGCCATCTACAGACATGATCTGGGTCAGACTTGGTTTGCAGGTTACTCAATTTTAGAATCCGCTGTCAGTTTTGTAAACAGAAGTCTGCTGGATGAATTGAACAGAAGGGTGAGATTAGCATATTAATAAGGTACTGGCTACTGGCCTTCTTTTTCTCCTCCCTCTTCTCCCTCCTATTCTTTCTCTCTCCTTCCCTGAATGAATCTAGGAACACAGACCCATGGGGTCACATTACTAGCTGGCTTCATTCTGTTCAGTAGCTTAATCTGGCCAGGATGGTCTGTGTTTCAGATTGCCGAAGCATGAGAAGATTCTGTAACTGAGGCATTCTTCAAGCTGCTGGAAAATATCACAGAAGGAACACCTCCCAAATTTTGCTTCAAGCTCTGAAAAAAGGAGCACACAGGGGAAGCTTAGTCTTACTTGTGGATCGAAGCAAATACTATCGGAGCGATGAACTGGGACTTTGTGTGCGGACTCCTGGCTTGATCTTTATAGGATTGGGTGTATGTTGTTGGAACTGGCAGGCCAAGAGGCCCTGAAACCAGCAGGTGCCATCTGTATGGAGAAAAGCGGCTGTAGTCCATTTCCAATGTGTTGGGCTAAAGGTATAAATAACTTAAAAATCTGTTCAGTTTTTATTTTATATAAATTCATGCTTTTGCATTAAACAAGTAGATAAGAATTTTTCAGAATTTATTTCAAAAGATTTACAATTAAATTTGAGGAAAAACAGAATTTGGTATGGTATGGGTTTGTAACTATTGCATACAACCAATTAGATAGTTTTTCATATAGTAAGTAAAAATATTTTTATGGAAATGCGTTTCAAGTGAAACTATCTTTTTAATGCTCGGTCCCATGTCTCTTAAAAGTTTTAATTTTTCTTTGAATCAGGACACCTGTATTGTGTGATACAGAAGTTTAAATAGGGCTGTAGGAAATAAGAGTAACATAGATTTTTTTTATTTTGAAAATTAGTTTTCTTTACTCACTGTAAAGATTGTATATTTAATTTGAAACTTCATATTATTGTGAGGTGGCCTTATCATTAAGGATCAGAAATACTGTGAATAAACAATTTTGCACTTTAATGTTGTTAGGGTTTTCATTCAAGTAAAACTGAATATAAAATATGGCATTTTCATTGTAACATTCAAGATAGTATTTGGAAAGCATATTTAGAAGTTAAAAATGCTATATAATTTCTGCATGACTAAAACCAAATAAATTCAACTGTTTTGCTCAAAGTAGTAGTGAATGTTTAACTTAGGAGATAAAGTTCTTAATGAAAAATTTAATGAAAATATTGTTATTTCAAATATATTTAAATATCATGTTAATCCACTTAGAAGGACTTTTAAAAGGCACCTACACTGGGTAAAAAAACTGCAGTTTTTTAAGTGGTAGTGTAAACCGATTCAATTTAATTTTTAGGGTAAAAATTTCAGTACCAACAGAATATTGATGTGTTAGCACCAAACTACAGTTTCACCATTAAATTGATTTTCATTTATTTAGTTGTCATTGTCTTTTATTAATTCTTTTCTAGGCTTTTGAACATTTATAAAACATGATATTAGAATTGTTTTAGTAACATGGTATCTGAACAAAGCACTTGTCACTATTACAAAATTAGATTTTCAGAGTAAGAATTTTGTCAAGTTAAATTCAAAATTGTGAATTTTAAAGTGCATTAGGTATAGGAACTTTTTAAAATTGCGATTTCTCAGCATCAGGACTGTACAGTATAAATGAGCATGGCCAATAATGAATACTCAGAGGCAAAGAGTTTTATACTTTAGACTTGCTGGGGTTTGCTTGCATAATGCCATTTCCATTGTATGATAGTTCTCTGTTAGCATTGATCATTAATGAAATCTCTGATTTCCCTCACAGGGTCTAAGCTAGATTCAGATCTACAAATCCAGTAGCAATGGGATGTTAAATTATCAGCTACTAGATTTCTTTTTATTCAAAGTGACCTTAGAAATGTGGACTTTGGAAGAAAAGAGAGATTGTAGTGTTTTTGCTCACTCCAAAATGATTGATTGAAGCACCTTATTTTTCAAGTGTGTTTGCTGGCTATCACAGCAAATTAGAGCTATTTTTAACTGAAATATGCGTTATGATAGAGGTGGGGGTTGGGTGAGAGAGAGCAAACCTCAAAAGTATAGAAGAGGGGAAAAAGTAGGGACAGCATCAAGGGTCAGAATCCATTTCATTTGCAGAGCCAGAGCAAGCCATCTCCTGGGATGAATGGTCTTGCTTTTGGATGGCTTAAAAGGAGGTTCTGACAGCACAGAATGTTATCCTGTGCCCTTCTCTGGGCTGAGCACACTGCTCCCACTGTGCTCACCTAGTGCACAGCTGTCTCAGTAAACTTCCTTTCTACCTCCTCGTTTTACTCTTGTACCAGGACAGGAAGGCAGCAAACCTTCTGTTTTTATGCTGGTTAATTTTTCTTTATGTGATAAGGACAAAGATGTTGATGTATAAGAATTGGCTGAATTGGTTATTTTCAAGTACAAAAGTTACAACTTGTAGATAAAGACAAAGTAAAAAGCTCAAATCCAAAGAATTTATAAATCTCTATCTGCAGTTAGACATTCTAAAAGACACATTTGGTTTTATCAATCACATTAACCTCAAAAAGCATAGTGTCCCAATTTAAGACAAAAAATATCAGTACAAGCTAAAAATAATAGAGTAGAACTATATTTGTATACTTCAAACTGAAACCTTTAAGGTGTCCTTAAAACACTCCGAAGTCTTTTCTATACTATTGAATTTGATTTAAAGAATCTACCTTAGATCCTATCCAAGGAAGATTATATTTTAAAGTATTTAAAAAGGACCTTGTTATAACATGTGTTCACCTATATCATGATTTCTGGTCTTAAAGACAGTTTTAATTCAGAATATTAAATGTAAATGTTCACAGTGTCAGGTTGTAAGGCTATTGAGTGTAGACACCCGTTTGGGGGTGTTCTTTGATTATATGAGTATGTACATTATTTGATTTTTTTGGAAGGCTGGGAAGGATAAAAGAGGTGTCAGTTTGCTTGTTGGGGTATGTTGATTTCTTCTGTTTCTTTTAGTAGATTGAGATTGAATATATTAATACTATTAATAGTATTTGTGTAATTCTGGATTCTGTGGTTAAAGTGATGCTCATTCTGTAGTGTGTTAAACACCACCCATCCATCCATCAATCTTGGCAAATAGCTCTGTGTACAGCCCATCTTCTGTGTTTCAGACTTTAATGGGCAACTGCTTCTTGGTATCTACATTTATATTTTTCATAAGCATCTGCTACTTTGCTTCTTAATTGCTGCCCCTGAATCTTCCCTATTTTAATAAGGAATGTACCCCTATCCACTCAGCTGTTCACACATCCAGGGTGCCGCTTTAGTACCTCCTTTTATGTATAATGAATCCATCTTTTTTTTTTTTCTTCAGAGACAGGGTCTCACTTTGTTGTCTGGGCTGCAGTACAGTATTCTGATCATAGCTTAGTACAGCCTCCAACTCCTGGGCTCAAATGGTCCTCCCACCTCAGCTTCCCGGGTAGCTGGGACTACAGGCATGCTTCTCCATAGCGAGATAATTTAGTTTTTGTATCACTGTGTTGCACAGGCTGGTCTCGAACTCCTGGCCTCAGGCAGTCCTCTTTCCTCAGCCTCCTAATGAATCCATCTTTTTATACTGATGATTCTACCTCCAAAATACGTCCTGATTTTCTCAATTTCTCTCCCTCTCTGTTTTTTCCGCTCTGGTCATGTTACGCCCTTCTCTTTCTGGGTTATGGGAGTAGCTTCCTCCTTGTCTGCTCTTCCTGTTCCCACACATGGCTCCTCCTTCATGTATCTTCCAGAGTGATTTTGTAAAAACACAAATCTCATATTGCATTCTTGCAATATGAGAAGAGTTTCCTTCAGTGTCTTCTCATTAGACTTGGATAAAACCCCACATCCTTAACAGGGTCTACAAAGTCTCACCTGATCTGGTCTTTTCTTTCCTTCTCCAGCTTTGGGCTGTTGTCCTCTTGCTCATTAACAGTGCTGTTATTTTGGCTTTTCAGTGCCTCAAACACCCAAAAGTCTTCCTCTTAGGCATTTTACACCTGTTGTTGCCTATTCCTGGAACCATCTTCTCTGCATTCTCTGGCTAGCCAGCTCCTGCTTGTCTTTTAGGTCTCAGCTTAAGTGAGCTCTCATTCCTCTCAGTGTATACCAGCCTCTCTCTCATGTTCCTCCTGTAGCCTTTTCTTCTGGTCTTGCAGCGCATTTACTGATTGATTCGTCACTATATATTTTACTAGTTTGATTTCTCTCTTCCACTGGACTGTAAACTTAACATAGTCAAGGATGATGTCAGGGGTTTTTTCCTGGTTAACAGGTAGTTGGCACAAATGGTCATTACTTTAATGAATTCATTATTTTAATGAATGAATAAATTCTATTATATATAGTGTTGGGTTTGATGATTGTTAAAGGCTCTTTCAGAGCTAAAATCTTGTGCTCAACGTATATATTGTTTTGTAGGCAAATCTAGTTTTAGAATCACTGAACTGTCAGAAAAAAGCTTCTATATGAAAATTCTGGCTGTTCTAATTTCATTTGGTTTGGGTTTTGCTTTTCCTCTTATGGTAAAAGTTGTATATGCAGGGTTTAACATGGCACTTTGCCCGATAGCATTTTAAAAGAGAGCTATGTGTCTTATAATAGCTAAAACTTACTCAGCACATACTGTGTGTCTTGCACTGTTCTGTGCATTACGTATGCACACGAACACGTATCCCATTTAATTCTCACAAAAGCCCTCTGAGATAGGAATTACTATCATTCCCATTTTACAGACGAGATAATTAAGACACTGAGAAATTAAGTAACTTGGCAATGGTTGCTCAGCTAATTAAAGGCACAGCCAAGTTCTGAACAGTGGGAAGCTGACTCTAGTGCCTATATTCTTTACATTGTGCTACACACACCCAAATGGAAAGATGGTAGGATCATAATAGAATTTGAACGTTATTTTATGTGATTTTTCCATGTTGATATAAGAACCATACCGTCTACTTTGAGATATTTTTCTTTGGTCACCATTCATTTATTCCACAAATATTTAATGAGCCCCTAGTATAATATGTGCCAGGCCCAGTGTATTTGGCATATGCCAGTGAGTAAAAGACAAAGATTCCTACTCCCTGATGGAGTCAGTCTTCTAGTGAGGGAAAACAGTGAATGATAAAAATAAGTAAATTAGTGTGGTACAAGGTGCTAAATGTTCTGGTGAAGATGAGGTCAGATGACAATCTAGGCACGCTGTATTGTAATCACGCATTTTATTGAAGACTTGAAGGAAACGAAGGAGTTAGCCACATGGGTATCTGGGAGAAAAAAGTTCCAGGCATGTTGTGTCAGCAGAGGAAAGGCTCTTGGTGGGGAAAATGGCTCTGTGGCCAGAACAGAGCGAGTGAGGGGATGTGATTCTCTTCCCGAGTCTTTTTTGTCTACCGGTTTGCTCTTTTCCCAGAGACACAGGTGTGGTATAAAAGGAAGGCCCACCAAAGATAAGCCATAATTTGGAGATCAGTTCTAATCCA